ATAATCGTCGCAGATGGCACGTGGACATGTAGTTCCGTAAGAAGATTGCGTATCCAAGAAGTTTCGGCAACGGTGTTGGCTACTCCTCTGTATTCGGCTTCCACGCTAGAACGAGAAACAGTGCGTTGCCGTTTCGATGACCAAGAAATGAGATTTTCTCCCAAGAAAACACAAAAACCGGAAGTAGATCGACGTGTCGTAGAGCAGCCAACCCAGTCGGCGTCAGAGTAAGCACAGGCTGCCGGAAGTTGGCTGCCGAAGGGAGGCGAAGAGGGGTTTCAAAATTCGAATTTTGAAACTAGGAGAGAAAGAAGGGAGGTTTGTTAGTACGCTCTGATACCATAATAGTGTTTATTTTCCCATGAATTGATCTGTATTCATTTAGCAAATATATATACAAAATAATGGGCTATACCCAGTAACAAATACAATGATAAAATACAAGGCCTTGGGCCTAAGTCTAACTATAAACTCACGATCACTGAAGTTGGTCTAACACTAACAAGGAGGTGGAATGGGCTAGGCCGTTATTGGAACAAGGCTTGTGGTGTAAGGCAACAAAGCGGTGGTGAGTACACATTTTTCGAATATTGTAATCAGAAAGATCACTATCGGTTTTTAACCCGTTCCAATTGGTCCCGATTGTTGGTCTTACATTTGTCCCGAGCTAGACCGAGTCTTGATTTTTGCCGAATATTGTATTTAGACCAAGACTGTTGGATCATGACCGGTTCCAATTGGTGTCGGTTCCTAGTCTTACGCCAGTCTCAGGCCAGCCCAGACCGAGTTTGGGGTGGATGCATGACGGAAGAATTAATGCGACATCATTTAATAAATAGGAAGGAACTATTTAGGGTTTCTTTAAACCATGAACCAACCTTAATTTGGTCCATTAATTCAACTTAGGACCGTTTAACAAACGCTTACCCGGTAAGTTCTTACCGATAAAATTTAAAACTATTATTTACTTACCTGGTAAGATTTTAGTCCACCAAAACGACACCGTATGCAACAATTTACCCGGTAAGCGCTTACTATGGTAAGAGTCGTCGCCTTCACTTACCGGGTAAGACTTTTGATCTTTGTCTCGCTCTTACCGGGTAAAATTCTTGATATTTACCATATTCATCCGGTAAGGTAAAATGACTTGGTGTTCACTTACCTGAGTAAGCGTTTGGTAAACGACCCCTTAGTCCTCATCTTGATCTCTTCTTTCTTGTTTCTGCAGGTTTATCGCCTTTTTGGCCGGAGGTATACATCCGGTGGTTGTGTTCATGCTATACTATCGGCAATGTTGGTGGTTTCCGGTGGGG